ACTGTCTCAGGGTCAGTGATTGGCTGATTATCTCTCCACCCCTATCTCACGTGTTACACTGCCTCTGATTGGCTGAAGGAGCTAAACTGATGATGTGGTTTCTGCTTTTGATAAATGCTGCCGTAGTTTATCTGTATGACTGGTAGAGATGTAATAATAAAGTAAATGCATAGTCTCAGACAAATATGTAAACTTCTGCTGTCATTCTGTAATAAATGCCTGACTATACCTTAAATTCTTCAAATGTTTTTCATTGTTTTAATTAATTCAAATTTGTAGGAGATTGACATTTTACTGTTTCTACAAACATTGTTGTATCAATCTTAACCCAGACAATCTAGTGCCTTGTTCTATGAAGCGATATTTTAACACAACTTTACCACAATCATAGTGCTAAGATCTCATAATCGAAGAGGCCCCATATTCTAGCACAGTACTCTTATTGAGCCAAGAATCCTTTGTATTCTACATTTCAAGCTTTAAAAAATATTCAGCATTTGATTCATGATGTCAGTAGGCATAAATTGAAGGGAACATGATTATACTTGGATAAAATATGTCCTCTTTGTGAAGAAAGCTAATAAAAATACATATTTTCAACAACCTCTAAAATATATATGCAAAGGGATAATAGTAAATGACTTCACCAGGAATTAAGCAAATATGTACCAGTTCCACCGTGTAGATTGAACCAAAAAACATATCAACACTGATCATGTTACAATTTTTTAAACTTCACCAAAAATTATTAAATTAAATTTGAAGGGGCTGTCATTGGTTCTGGTTGTTTCTACATCATACAGGAATTTGTGTTATGAATGTGACATTACACTATTAATTCCTACATGATTCAATTCTAAAACCAAACAATTGGCCTCTTGGCCCCATTCCTAAAGCTAATCTTAGCACTAAGTCTATCATAAGCCTATACCGAGTCACGGTCATCTTAGCCAAGACTGCTTGAGGAACTGTGTCAGCAAAGCAAAACTGGAATTGAAATTAAACAGATGTGTTTGAATATAATCAGATATTACTGTTTCAAAAGTAAAGTGAAAGTGATTACATCAGATAAAAAGCCACATCATAAATTAAAATGAAATGTTGACTTTTTCTCAGCATGTTATGGCCAATGCTTTCATTGTAAGCAACAAATATAATCTCATGCTTAATTCAAGGTGAAGTCTGATAGATCTCCTCTAAAGGAAAGAAATCATCTTGTAGAGGTAATCCAGCCCCCACTTCTTGAAACATTATCTTCAGGTTTTCTCAAATTTTCAACGGGGTTTGAACTCATATGAGTTTCTAATCAAATCACATTTCTCAAAAGTAACAACTTTTTTAATGTAGCTGGTGGTGGTGGCATCTGCAATTGGCAGCCATCTTGTCCCCTCTAAAGATGAGTTGAGTTTTCACAAATTTCCTTTCTTGTGGTTTTTTATCAGTTTTAGTCCAAATTTGGGTCTTGTTTCTTTTGAGAAATGTATTTTGAAAAGTTTTGCAAATTTGAGATAAACCTCAGACTTGTTTGTTTCAAGAAACCTGAAGTGGTCTGTCTCCTAACATGATAGGTCTCAGGGAATGTTCATACATCACAAATGGCTAGGGGTATCGTCACCATGACTCTAGTTGCTGCACATTAGTCACAGGTAATATTGGACAGTTAAAATATACTCTGTACAGGAGTTCTGATGAGGCTAAAATATATCATGATGCATGTCTTCATGTATAATTAATATTCACACAATTGACACAAACATTCGTAAAACCTCAGTACATGATTACATTGTTGTAGCAAACACAAGGATTCCATTGCCTATAACCTCTCCCCAAATATTGTGTAACTAGCTCGTGAAGCCTCGGACACTCGCCAGATATATTCTTGTTTATAGATGAGACGACCCTAAATTTGATTCTGTATTTTCTCTATGTATATTAAAAATATCGCTTTTCATTTACAAGGTAAGTATCTCATTGTGTAAGATTTGTGTGATGTTATTTTAGCGGCCATAATATAATGTGTGTTTCAATGCGCCAACATAAAAAATACTACCATTTATGAATGTATTCATACACTGCGATAAAACCAAAAAATGTAAGTGATGATGTGCTCATTTGACAACACGTTTCAACCATTAATGTTTGAAAACATATCAACATTCCTTGTGCAATTCTTTATGAAAGCCTAAAATGATAACTAGTGTTGGCATTTGGTCTCCAGATTTGGACCACTTGCTGATACCATTTGTGGAAAACCATGGTATGTTCTTATGTCAGAACAGCAATAAAATTATTGTTATATTTTCATCCCTGCCTCAATATTAAATATCCTGCCCATATATGTTAATTTTATTGTTCCCAAAGTACCTGGAGATGAATACAAGCAGTTTGTTTGTTGCTTTCTTTGATGAAAGGAATACACTATACACATAATCCTTCCAAACATTCCAGCTCTGCGTTAATGGCATTTGTCGACAATAACTGTACATAGTTGTCAAGAACAGCTTTTGTAAAAAATTAAAGAATAAAATTTCACCATCTCACATTATAATTAAATTTGGATAAAAACCAAGGCCTCATTCCACAAAGTGATAATAGCGCTAAGGTGATCGTAAATCAAATACTTTAACATAGAGTTACGACTGTTTTAGCGCGCTATGAGTGTTTTTTGGAACAGGGCCTTGATATTATATTTATTAAATACTAAAATATGTTTGTAATATTAAGTGAGACTATTATAATACAAGATAAAATCAGTAAGTTATGATAAAGATCAAAAGGCACAAAACACATAGAAAAATGTAACTCATCTGTTTACCAGTGCACAATACATTCTGCAAATTAACAGAATATCTAACAAATGTCTTCATCCCAGTAGTATCTTAACAACCTTTCCTTACCCTCCCCACCCTACCTCACCTTCATAACAGTATGTACACTCTGGGGTTTGTGTATGAAAATGGAATACACTCTTTCAATCTCACTAACAAATATGACAGACACTGTAACAGCCGAATAACATGTTAACCACACCGGTAGAGATAGAATCATTCTACCTCAGGACATCCTACAGTATAACTTGAGTATGTAGACACTCCACAGATTCTATGACAGAGGTCTTTAGGGGACATTAGCTTTGTTATACATTTATTGAAATTTCAGATAAAAAAGTTGAAATTTTAAATACTAATTTGAAATTTCAAGAAAATGCATTTATGTAGAGAAAATGGTTTATTTTTGTTCATTTTGAGGAGTTCATTACATCTGTAAATGCAAGTTGTAAACAATCTACCTAACATCTTGAAATTAATTTTAATATCTTTTAAGTTCAAGAAATGAATATGAAAACACCCAAATGTCCACGAAAGGATTCCTTATTTTTGGCAGAGCCTATTTGAAAACTGTGTTCATATCAAACCTACTTTTAAAAGGCATTGTTCAACTGAAATTAATGATATCTAAAAACTGATTCCTTGAAAATAACATCAGTTATTTAATCAGGGTCACTTGGTCAATGTGAAACACAAACACAATAAAATGCACTTTCTGTAGACAGCTGAGACAGGAAATTGTCACAAAGAGACTCATGAGAAAAAAGGATAGATATAAACTTTCAAGTCTGTTTACAATTACTTGCTATATCGTTTTCAGGAATCTACAAGAGGACATGTACATATATGTCTCCACTGGCAATCTGGTTACCATGGTTTGGTAAAACATTCCAGCTGTATCTAACTAACAGTTATTGCTATGATTTTTAATGAACCATTCGACTACATATGTTAATACAAACATATTTTTTTTAAAAATAAAATAAAATAAAATTTTGTGGAATTAAAAAAACTATGTAATTGAAGAAAGTGCATCTTTCCTGAAACAAGCCTTACCAAATCTCAAACCAATAAATTCATGTTGTATGATAATTTGTATAAGTGAATATATATTTAAACATCATCTATCACAAACATCATCACCACTGGGTTCTTGAGGAGCATGAGATTCATTTTCACTTCAGCTTACTTTGATCTCTCATTATCTCAAGATTAGCAGGATCTGTGACACTGAGATAATCCTATAATCTCACAAATCTGGTTCACAGAGGGCCAAATATTTTTATTAACAAAGACATAAAATTACTTAATCTCATAAACTCAGAAAATTATAAGTACCGGTATTAAATAAAATAAATGTATAACAAATATTAACATATCAAAATTAGTTAAACAGATTTTTTATATAATGTAAGTTTTAGTGTTAATGGCAGCCAACAGTGTAACTGTTTAAAGACCGGGTCTAATGTTCCATTCATCATTTATGCACATACATATTAGTGTGTGTGTGTGTGTGTGTGTGTGTGTGTGTGTGTGTGTGTGTGTGTGTGTGTGTGTGTGTGTGTGTGTGTGTGTGTGTGTGTGTGTGTGTGTGTGTGTGTGTGTGTGTGTGTGTGAGTGTGTGTGTGAGTGCATGAGTGCCTGTGTGTCTATGTGAGTGCATGTGTGTCTCTGTGTGTTTGCGAGTGCATGTGTGTATCTGTGTGTTTGTGAGTGCCTGTGTGTGTTTGTGTGTGTTTGTGAGTGCCTGTGTGTCTCTGTGTGTTTGTGAGTGTCTGTGAAGGTGCATGTGTGTGCCTGTGTGAGTGCCTGTGTGTTTGTGTGTGTCTGTGTGTCTGTGGCAACAACAAGTACCTTTGTTTAACAGTATTTGGTATGGCACAGCTGAGAATTAAAACAACCGATGATCGCTCTCTCCGCAAACACCCTACCTGTTCTCCCAACTGGAAGTCTGTGATTGAAATATAATAAAATAACTGGATCTTAGAGGCACAGTTACCCCTAGATAACCAACTAAGTTTTGAGATAATGAGAGACAACTACCCCAATTTCCCACTGAAAACAGTGGAACCTCTTTAACACAGACACTGTTAATCTGGACACCTGATTTAAGGACAGTCACCAGTACCATTGGGTACATCTATGTATATACAAAGGACATCACTCCTCAATAAGGATGAACTGATCCCAATGTTTACTAATACAAACACATTCGGAGAGGACAGCAGCATGCAGACTATCAATGTTTCACAGGTAATTTCTGACTAGTGATTCCAAAGGAATCTCATTCAGAAGACTTACTACAAGATTATTTCTCTTCTGTCTCACATGAAACAATGCAATCATACTGGGTTTTTTTAGATATTAGGTCCAACATAAATATAATTTGTTTTCATATACCTACAATATATTTGTGAATGAGGAAGAATGTTGGAATAGTTACCACTTGAGTTTCACTTAAGGCAAAAATGAGCATTTGAGGTATGGAAGTCTTTAGATAGTGCTTGATGAAGCCCTCTAAAATACAGATAGAGTTTTGCATGACTAAACATAATTTTGATGGAACAATCTGTCACTGTCAATAATAAATTAATAAACATTTGAACTTCTGTCTGATTCTGTCTCTATGAATAATATAACATTTGAGCTTCTACAAAGTTTCCCTCCAAATCACCAGCCAAGTGACCGGTACACACAATTGCTGGGTCTACATTCGAACAACCAACAGACTAACTTGCCTAATCATTCGAGCCATCATCAATTGAACTCCTCTTTCTCAAACACCATTTGGACTGCCTCCAGTACATTCTGCGTTACGTGGCATGGCCGTTTGAGGTCCGGGTCTATTACAAAATCTCTATGATTATGATTGGATGACCTCTTGCCCCCGTACGTCACAAAGTCTCTCTCGGTGCAGTACACACCGGTACATACCAGGATGCTTTCACACGACTTGGCGAAATTATCAACAAACTCTTCTCCTTCTGACTGAGATTCTAACATCTCCAACTCTTCGGAGGAGTCCTCATCATCGTCGTCCATGTCCGACACCTGTTGGCCACTGGCATGGGCAACGGCCTGCTTGACCACGGCCTGGGCTGACAGACGCTTCTGTTTAGACTTGAGTCTCTTTCTGAGGTAGCGGTTGTAGAGATTTGCTCCGTATATATCAGTCTCCGGGTTGTCACTGTGACAGGAAAAGATGGATTAAATAGGGTTATTTGACAAGAATAGTCGAACTATAGTCTGCTGTCTGTAGTCTCATGTAAAGTCAACCTACCCTCCATAAATCATATAGTATTACACAAGTTAACCTACCCTGAACAGTATATAGTCTGATGTTTACCTACCCTATACAGTATACAGTCTGATGTAAAGCCAACCTACCCTATACAGTATACAGTCTGATGTAAAGTCAACCTACCCTATACAGTGTGCAGTCTGATGTAAAGTTGCCCTATCCTACACTATACAGTGTGCAGTCTGATGTAAAGTTGCCCTATCCTACACTATACAGTATACAGTCTCATGTAAAGTTGCCCTATCCTACACTATACAGTATACAGTCTCATGTAAAGTTGTCCTATCCTACACTATACAGTATACTGTCTGTTGTAAGTTGTCCTATCCTACCCTATACAGTATACAGTCTGATGTAAAGTTGTCCTATCCTACCCTATACAGTATACAGTCTGATGTAAAGTTGTCCTATCCTACCCTATACAGTATACAGTCTGATGTAAAGCCAACCTACCCTTTACAGTATACAGTCTCATGTAAAGTTGCCCTATCCTACACTATACAGTATAAGTCTCATGTAAAGTTGCCCTATCCTACCCTATACAGTATAGTCTCATGTAAAGTTGTTCCTATCCTACACTATACAGTGTGCAGTCTCATGTAAAGTTGCCCTATCCTACCCTATACAGTATAGTCTCATGTAAAGTTGTCCTATCCTACCCTATACAGTATACAGTCTCATGTAAAGTTGCCCTATCCTACACTATACAGTGTGCAGTCTCATGTAAAGTTGTCCTATCCTACCCTATACAGTATACAGTCTGATGTAAAGTTGTCCTATCCTACACTATACAGTATACAGTCTGATGTAAAGTTGTCCTATCCTACACTATACAGTATACAGTCTGATGTAAAGTTGCCCTATTTACACTATACAGTATACAGTCTCATGTAAAGTTGCCCTATCCTACACTATACAGTGTGCAGTCTCATGTAAAGTTGCCCTATCCTACACTATACAGTATACAGTCTCATGTAAAGTTGCCATATCCTACACTATACAGTATACAGTCTCATGTAAAGTTGCCCTATCCTACCCTATACAGTATAGTCTAATGTAAAGTTGTCCTATCCTACACTATACAGTATACAGTCTCATGTAAAGTTGTATCCTATCCTATACACTATGCAGTCTGATGTAAAAGTCGCCCCATCCCCACACTATACAGTATACAGTCTGATGTAAAGTTGCCTTATCCTACACTATACAGTATACAGTCTCATGTAAAGTTGCCCTATCTTACCCTATACAGTATACAGTCTCATGTAAAGTTGCCCTATCCTACACTATACAGTATACAGTCTCATGTAAAGTTGCCCTATCCTACACTTATACAGTCTCATGTAAAGTTGCCCTATCCTACACTATACAGTATACAGTCTCATGTAAAGTTGCCCTATCCTACACTATACAGTATACAGTCTGATGTAAAGTTGTCCTATCCTACACTATACAGTATACAGTCTGATGTAGAGTTGCCCTATCCTACACTATACAGTATACAGTCTCATGTAAAGTTGTCCTATCCTACACTATACAGTGTAGTCTCATGTAAAGTTGTCCTATCCTACACTATACAGTGCACACAGTCTGATGTAAGTTGTCTTATCCCACACTATACAGTATACAGTCTCATGTAAAGTTGTCCTATCCTCATCCACATATACAGTATACAGTCTCATGTAAAGTTGTTCTATCCTACACTATACAGTATACAGTCTGTTGTAAGTTGTCCTATCCTACACTATACAGTGTGCAGTCTCATGTAAAGTTGTCCTATCCTACACTATACAGTATACAGTCTGTTTGTGTTGTCCTATCCTACACTATACAGTATACAGTCTGATGTAAAGTTGTCTCTATCCTACACACTCATACAGTATACAGTCTGATGTGAAGTTGCCCTATCCCTACACTATACAGTATACAGTCTCATGTAAAGTTGTTCTATCCTACACTATACAGTATACTGTCTGTAAGTTGTCCCATCCTACCCTATACAGTATACAGTCTGATGTAAAGTTGTCCTATCCTACCCTATACAGTATACAGTCTGATGTAAAGTTGTCCTATCCTACCCTATACAGTATACAGTCTGATGTAAAGCCAACCCCACTCCTTTACAGTATACAGTCTCATGTAAAGTTGTCTCTATCCCACAACTATACAGTATAAGTCTCATGTAAAGTTGTCTCTATCCTACCCTATACAGTATAGTCTCATGTAAAGTTGTTCTATCCTACACTATACAGTGTGCAGTCCTCATGTAAAGTTGTTCTATCCCAACTTCTATACAGTATAGTCTCATGTAAAGTTGTCTCTATCCCAATTCCTATACAGTATATAGTCTCATGTAAAGTTGTTCTATCCTACACTCATACAGTGTGTAGTCTCATGTAAAGTTGTCCTATCCTACTCCTATACAGTATACAGTCTGATGTAAAGTTGTCCTATCCTACACTATACAGTATACAGTCTGATGTAAAGTTGTCCTATCCTACATCATATACAGTATACAGTCTCATGTAAAGTTGCCCCTATTTACACTATACAGTATACAGTCTCATGTAAAGTTGTTCTATCCTAATACACTATACAGTGTGCAGTCTCATGTAAAGTTGTCTCCTATCCTACACTATACAGTATACAGTCTCATGTAAAGTTGCTTATATCCTACACTATACAGTATACAGTCTCATGTAAGTTGTCTCTATCCTACTCCTATACAGTATAGTCTAATGTCAAAGTTGTTCCTATCCTACACTCTATACAGTATACAGTCTCATGTAAAGTTGTCCTCTATCCTACACTATACAGTCTGATGTAAAGTCGCCTCTATCCTACACTATACAGTATACAGTCTGATGTAAAGTTGTCTCTATCCTATTAATTCATACAGTATACAGTCTCATGTAAAGTTGTCCCTATCTTACCCCTATACAGTATAACAGTCTCATGTAAAGTTGTCCTATCCCACACTTACTATACAGTATATAGTCTCATGTAAAGTTGTCCTATCCCACACCTCATACAGTATACTGTCTGTTGTAAGTTGTCCTATCCCCAATCTATAAGGCAGTATACAGTCTGATGTAAAGTTGTCCTATCCTACTCCTATAACTAGTATACAGTCTGATGTAAAGTTGTCCTATCCTAATTCTATACAGTATACAGTCTGATGTAAAGCCAACCTACTCCTTTACAGTATACAGTCTCATGTAAGTTGTCCTATCCCACACTATACAGTATAAGTCTCATGTAAAGTTGTCTCTATCCCAATTCTATACAGTATAGTCTCATGTAAAGTTGTTCTATCCTACACTATACAGTGTAGTCCTCATGTAAAGTTGTCCTATCCCTAACCTATACAGTATACAGTCTGATGTAAAGTTGTCCTATCCCACACTATACTATACAGTATACAGTCTGATGTAAAGTTGTCCTATCCTACACTATACAGTATACAGTCTGATGTAAAAGTTGTCTCCTATTTACACTATACAGTATACAGTCTCGTGTAAAGTTGTCCCTATCCCACACTATACAGTGTGCAGTCTCATGTAAAGTTGCCCTATCCTACACTATACAGTATACAGTCTCATGTAAAGTTGCCATATCCTACACTATACAGTATACAGTCTCATGTAAAGTCGCCCTATCCTACCCTATACAGTATAGTCTAATGTAAAGTTGTCCTATCCTACACTATACAGTATACAGTCTCATGTAAAGTTGCCCTATCCTACACTATACAGTCTGATGTAAAGTCGCCCTATCCTACACTATACAGTATACAGTCTGATGTAAAGTTGCCTTATCCTACACTATACAGTATACAGTCTCATGTAAAGTTGCCCCTATCTTACCCTATACAGTATACAGTCTCATGTAAAGTTGCCCTATCCTACACTATACAGTATACAGTCTCATGTAAAGTTGCCCTATCTTACACTATACAGTCTCATGTAAAGTTGCCCTATCCTACACTATACAGTATACAGTCTCATGTAAAGTTGCCCTATCCTACACTATACAGTATACAGTCTGATGTAAAGTTGTCCTATCCTACACTATACAGTATACAGTCTGATGTAGAGTTGCCCTATCCTACACTATACAGTATACAGTCTCATGTAAAGTTGTCCTATCCTACACTATACAGTGTGCAGTCTCATGTAAAGTTGCCCTATCCTACACACTATACAGTACACAGTCTGATGTGGAAGTTGTCTTATCTCTACACTATACAGTATACAGTCTCATGTAAAGTTGTCCCTATTCTACTCCTATACAGTATACAGTCTCATGTAAAGTTGTCTCTATCCTACACTATACAGTATACAGTCTGTTGTAAGTTGTCCCATCCTACACTATACAGTGCAGTCTCATGTAAAGTTAAGTTGTCCCATCCTACACTATACAGTATACAGTCTGTTGTAGTTGTCCTATCCTACACTATACAGTATACAGTCTGATGTAAAAGTTGCCCTATCCTACACTATACAGTATACAGTCTGATGTGAAGTTGTTCCTATCCCACACTATACAGTATACAGTCTCATGTAAAGTTGTTCTATCCTACACTATACAGTATAACTGTCTGTTGTAAGTTGTCCTATCCTAATCCTATACAGTATACAGTCTGATGTAAAGTTGTCCCATCCCAACCTCTATACAGTAGTACAGTCTGATGTAAAGTTGTCCTATCCTAACTTTATACAGTATACAGTCTGATGTAAAGCCAACCTACCCCTTTACAGTATACAGTCTCATGTAAAGTTGTCCTATCCTACACTATACAGTATAAGTCTCATGTAAAAGTTGTCCCTATCCTACCCTATACAGTATAGTCTCATGTAAAGTTGTTCTATCCTACACTATACAGTGTGCAGTCTCATGTAAAGTTGCCCTATCCCTACCCTATACAGTATAGTCTCATGTAAAGTTGCCCTATCCTACCCTATACAGTATACAGTCTCATGTAAAGTTGCCCTATCCTACACTATACAGTGTGCAGTCTCATGTAAAGTTGTCCTATCCTACCCTATACAGTATACAGTCTGATGTAAAGTTGTCCTATCCTACACTATACAGTATACAGTCTGATGTAAAGTTGTCCTATCCTACACTATACAGTATACAGTCTCATGTAAAGTTGCCCTATTTACACTATACAGTATACAGTCTCATGTAAAGTTGCCCTATCCTACACTATACAGTGTGCAGTCTCATGTAAAGTTGCCCTATCCTACACTATACAGTATACAGTCTCATGTAAAGTTGCCATATCCTACACTATACAGTATACAGTCTCATGTAAAGTTGCCCTATCCTACCCTATACAGTATAGTCTAATGTAAAGTTGCCCTATCCTACACTATACAGTATACAGTCTCATGTAAAGTTGCCCTATCCTACACTATACAGTCTGATGTAAAGTCGCCCTATCCTACACTATACAGTATACAGTCTGATGTAAAGTTGCCCTATCCTACACTATACAGTATACAGTCTCATGTAAAGTTGCCAAGGTCCCTATTTTACCCTATACAGTATACAGTCTCATGTAAAGTTGCCCTATCCTACACTATACAGTATATAGTCTCATGTAAAGTTGTCCTATCCTACACTATACAGTATACTGTCTGTTGTAAGTTGTCCTATCCTACCCTATACAGTATACAGTCTGATGTAAAGTTGTCCTATCCTACCCTATACAGTATACAGTCTGATGTAAAGTTGTCCTATCCTACCCTATACAGTATACAGTCTGATGTAAAGCCAACCTACCCTTTACAGTATACAGTCTCATGTAAAGTTGCCCTATCCTACACTATACAGTATAAGTCTCATGTAAAGTTGCCCTATCCTACCCTATACAGTATAGTCTCATGTAAAGTTGCCCTATCCTACACTATACAGTGTGCAGTCTCATGTAAAGTTGCCCTATCCTACCCTATACAGTATAGTCTCATGTAAAGTTGTCCTATCCTACCCTATACAGTATACAGTCTCATGTAAAGTTGCCCTATCCTACACTATACAGTGTGCAGTCTCATGTAAAGTTGTCCTATCCTACCCTATACAGTATACAGTCTGATGTAAAGTTGTCCTATCCTACACTATACAGTATACAGTCTGATGTAAAGTTGTCCTATCCTACACTATACAGTATACAGTCTGATGTAAAGTTGCCCTATTTACACTATACAGTATACAGTCTCATGTAAAGTTGCCCTATCCTACACTATACAGTGTGCAGTCTCATGTAAAGTTGCCCTATCCTACACTATACAGTATACAGTCTCATGTAAAGTTGCCATATCCTACACTATACAGTATACAGTCTCATGTAAAGTTGCCCTATCCTACCCTATACAGTATAGTCTAATGTAAAGTTGCCCTATCCTACACTATACAGTATACAGTCTCATGTAAAGTTGCCCTATCCTACACTATACAGTCTGATGTAAAGTCGCCCTATCCTACACTATACAGTATACAGTCTCATGTAAAGTTGCCCTATCCTACACCTATACAGTATACAGTCTCATGTAAAGTTGCCCTATCCTACACTATACAGTATACAGTCTCATGTAAAGTTGCCCTATCCTACACTATACAGTATACAGTCTGATGTAAAGTTGTCCTATCCTACACTATACAGTATACAGTCTGATGTAAAGTTGCCCTATCCTACACTATACAGTATACAGTCTCATGTAAAGTTGTCCTATCCTACACTATACAGTATACAGTCTCATGTAAAGTTGCCCTATCCTACACTATACAGTATACAGTCTGATGTAAGTTGTCTTATCCTACACTATACAGTATACAGTCTCATGTAAAGTTGCCCTATCTTACCCTATACAGTATACAGTCTCATGTAAAGTTGCCCTATCCTACACTATACAGTATACAGTCTGTTGTAAGTTGTCCTATCCTACACTATACAGTGTGCAGTCTCATGTAAAGTTGCCCTATCCTACACTATACAGTATACAGTCTGTTGTAAGTTGTCCTATCCTACACTATACAGTATACAGTCTGTTGTAAGTTGTCCTATCCTACCCTATACAGTATACAGTCTGATGTAAAGTTGTCCTATCCTACACTATACAGTATACAGTCTGATGTAAAGCCAACCTACCCTATACAGTATACAGTCTCATGTAAAGCCAACCTACCCTATACAGTATACAGTCTGATGTAAAGCCAACCTACCCTATAGAGTATACAGTCTCATGTAAAGCCAACCTACCCTATAGAGTATACAGTCTCATGTAAAGCCAACCTACCCTATACAGTATACAGTCTCATGTAAAGTTGCCCTATCCTACACTATACAGTATAAGGTCTGACGTAAAGCCAACCTACCCTATACAGTATATAGTGCTGATTCCATCAAGCCCCAACAGGCGTGACTGTTGGCTGAGAAGGTAGTCAGCATGGTGATATGTTATCTCGCTCGGCTTGCCAACTAAAGCTGTGTATTTCAACTCACGCCCTGTGATTTTCTGTAATCAGAAAAACAAAATTCATTGCAAGTATAATTTGAAGCCATTAATCATCAGCAAACAGTAACATGAGCCATCATGAAACAGTGACGTTTTTAATTTCCCCATGGAGAGCAAGCTAATAATTTATGTAATATCAGTGAGCATATACCGCATGACTTCTCCCTGGTATTACTACAGGACAACATTTCTATACACACATACATGTACCACGTGATTCCATGGTATTGCACAAGGATAAAAAAGATAAGCTCATTAGCACGCTACTGGTACAGAGAGACGGCAGATTTTGCCTTGCATCATAGAACTTATCAATGTCACTTATTTCATAAAGTGAGTGAGTGAGTTTAGTTTTAGGCTGCTTTTAGCAACATTCCAGCAATTTCACGGTGTGGGACAGAAATGGGCTTCACACATTGTACCCATGTGGGCAATCAAATACGTGTATTCCGTGTGATTATTAAAGGATATTTATATAGCGCACATATCCACGCAACTAGTGCTTGCTCAAGGCGCTGGTAGTTTTTCCGCTTGATCATTGGATGTCAATCTCAACGGCACATCTTATTATCAATCTCAACTCCCTGTGGAGTATACAACTGATGAGCGAACGCTTTAACCACTAGGCTACCACACCGCCCCTATTTCATAAAGAGATCATTAAGGGTATATATAGGGAGCTCTAAGGTCCATATATAGGAGCTTGTTGATCTGCATACATGAAGCTCCTCAGTGAATACATAGATCCACAGAGGCACATACAGATCCATTGCATACACACATAGGGAGGACATTCTGAATGTATATATTGGTAACCTTAAATGTACATGTAGGCATTCTTGATGTGGAAATAGGAGCTAAGGGATCTCTATGTAGGGATCCATTACAAAGAGATTGATTAACTTCTTGTGTATTCATCAAGGATCTCCTGTACATACATCAAGTATCCCTACATAGAGATCTTAAATTCTGTTCGGAGATCCTTCATGTATACACACAGGTGTACGGTATGTGGGGCATCATTAGTGGTACACTTAGAGGTTTCCCAGGAGTGTTTACAGATCTCCTTGGATACAGATATATACATGAGTTCCATAGGAGATATAACAGGCATTAAGCATGAAAACTCCAGTTTATACATATTATATGTTCTTATGGCAGATAAAATTACAAGCATCTATCAAGCACAGGATTTACATCAATTGCCTTCTGCACTTATTTTTAAGAGATTCTGCTACACAAACTTAAATAATATACGATATCAAGATTCTTGTTAGTCTTTTCATCTGAAATGTTTCAGCCTGAAATGAGTCTGCCAAAATTGTCAGATATATCATTTATAATGCAAATTAGAAACTAGAAATTCAAAACCACCATCTGTTTGAGATGACATATGAATAAATTGGTGAAGGTATATTAAGTATGCATATGCTTCTATTAAAACCATAGTTCTGCCCATGATTTATTGATGGATCGTGATAGTGTGACGTGTGACACACTGGTGGTCGTGTGAGTCATGGACAGCATCCAACTTGCATCCATCATATACACCCAAACTCTGATGCATGATATCCTGTGGCAGTGAGTGAGTGAGTGATATACTATGGCAGTTGTAGGATTGCTTTGTCTCTGAGTGGAGGAGTGAGTGATATCTTATGGCAGTTGTAGGATTGCTTTGTCTCTGAGTGAATGAGATACTATGGCAGTTGTAGGATTGCTTTGTCTCTGAGTGAGTGAGTGAGTGATATCTTATGGCAGTTGTAGGAATGCTTTGTCTTGAGTGAGTGAGTGATATCCTATGGCAGTTGTAGGATTGCTTTGTCTTGAGTGAGTGAGTGAGTTAGTGAGTGATATCCTATGGCAGTTGTAGGATTGCTTTGTCTATGAGTGAGTGAGTGATATACTATGGCACTTGTAGGATTGCTTTGTCTCTGAGTGAGTGAGCGAGTGAAATCTTATGGCAGTTGTAGGAATGCTTTGTCTTGAGTGAGTGAGTGATATCCTATGGCAGTTGTAGGATTGCTTTGTCTCTGAGTGAGTGAGTGATATACTATGGCAGTTGTAGGATTGCTTTGTCTCTGAGTGAGTGAGTGAGTGATATCCTATGGCAGTTGTAGGATTGCTTTGTCTTGAGTTAGTGAGTGAGTGATATTCTATGGCAGTAAATGTAGGAATGCTTTGTCTCTGAGTGAGTGAGTGATATACTATGGCAGTAAATGTAGGAATGCTTTGTCTCTGAGTGAGTGAGTGATATCCTATGGCAGTAAATGTCGGAATGCTTTGTCTCTGAGTGAGTGAATGAGTGACTGTGAGCAAGTGAGGTTTTGAACAGTCATAATTCCAGTTAATCACAGGACGCCAGTTTAATTTGGCACTAAAGCCTGAAGTGACGCCAGTCTCAGACATTTACCACTTTAAGAACAGGTATGGTGCTAACAAACCTAGAATCCTACTTTGAACCACTGATATTGCTGGTACCAAGGGACACAACTCTGCACTGTAAACTGCGGGGCAACTTAGAAGACAGCACCAACAATGGCCACTGTCTTGTCCTGACTTACGAGCAAACAAGGCATGGGCATATAAACACACTTTGAAAGTTCAGTAAGGGCCTTACTTAGACTCAGTCACCTTAAGCAGGTCTGTTAAGCAAAAAGTATGCTATTAAATATCAACATTAAATATTCATTAAACATTAGCTCTCTCATGCATGAAATGTTATAATTATGCTGTCTTGAAATTTAAGTTAAGCTTGAGTGACGTTAATTAGTTTGGTTGAGTTAAAATACATATTTGTCGTCATACTTACATCAGTCCACTGTATGAAATAAGGCCTGTCCGACTGCCCGAGACGGGCTAGATTTCTGCCAGACGGTCAAATTTTACAGCTAACCAGCCCGATTGACGGACGAAAAAAATATTCAGATAATGTGTCCACTGGCACTGTCTGTTTAGTATTTAAGAAGGACTGGTTAAATCTCTTCTGGGCTAGTAAGTTTTTGAAGTTACCAGCCTAGATGTCTGGCTGGGGTTTTGACTTATTTCATACACTGCTTACATCATAGAACCATCCCCCTTTCTGATATCATACCCTGACCGTCCTTACTCATCGCCTTTTCAGCTCCAGAAGCCTAACCCTTCCCATTCTCAGCTCCAGCTCATACACCACTTTCTCACCTGGTATCAACATTCACTCACCTGGTATCAACATTCACTCACCTGGTACAAACATTCACTCACCTGGTATCAACATTCACTCACCTGGTACAAACATTCACTCACCTGGTACAAACATTCACTCACCTGGTACAAACTCACCTGGTACAAACATTCACTCACCTGGTACAGACATTCACTCACCTGGTACAAACATTCACTTACTTGGTACAAACATTCACTCACCTGGTACAAACATTCACTCACCTGGTATCAACATTCACTTACCTTGTACAAACATTCACTCACCTGGTACAAACATTCACTCACCTGGTACAAACATTCACTCACCTGGTATCAACATTCACTCACCTGGTATCAACATTCACTCACCTGGTACAAACATTCACTCACCTGGTACAAACATTCACTCACCTTGTACAAACATTCACTCACCTGGTACAAACATTCACTCACCTTGTACAAACATTCACTCACTTGGTATCAACATTCACTCACCTTGTACAAACATTCACTCACCTGGTACAAACATTCACTCACCTTGTACAAACATTCACTCACCTGGTACAAACATTCACTCACCTGGTATCAACATTCACTCACCTGGTACAAACATTCACTCACCTGGTATCAACATTCACTCACCTAGTATCAACATTCACTCACCTGGTACAAACATTCACTCACCTGGTACAAACATTCACTCACCTGGTACAAACATTCACTCACCTGGTATCAACATTCACTTACCTTGTACAAACATTCACTCACCTTGTACAAACATTCACTCACCTGGTATCAACATTCACTCACCTGGTATCAACATTCACTCACCTAGTATCAACATTCACTCACCTGGTATCAACATTCACTTACTTTGTACAAACATTCACTCACCTTGTACAAACATCCACTCACCTGGTATAAACATTCACTCACCAGGTACAAACATTCACTCACCTGGTACAAACATTCACTCACCTTCACTCACCTGGTACAAACATTCACTCACCTGGTATCAACATTAACTCACCTGGTACAAACATTCACTTACCTGGTACAAACATTCACCTACCTGCTATCAACATTCACTCAACTTGTACAAACATTCACTCACCTGGTATCAACATTCACTCACCTGGTATCAACATTCACTTACCTTGTACAAACATTCACTCACCTGGTATCAACATTCACTCACCTGGTACAAACATTCACTTACCTTGTACAAACATTCACTCACCTTGTACAAACATTCACTCACCTGTATCAACATTCACTCACCTTCACTCACCTGGTACAAACATTCACTCACCTGGTACAAACATTCACTCACCTGGTATCAACATTCACTTACCTTGTACAAACATTCACTCACCTGGTACAAACATTCACTCACCTGGTACAAACATTCACTCACCTGGTATCAACATTCACTCACCTGGTATCAACATTCACTCACCTGGTACAAACATTCACTAACCTGGTACAAACATTCACTCACCTTGTACAAACATTCACTCACCTGGTACAAACATTCACTCACCTTGTACAAACATTCACTCACTTGGTATCAACATTCACTCACCTTGTACAAACATTCACTCACCTGGTACAAACATTCACTCACCTGGTACAAACATTCACTCACCTGGTATCAACATTCACTCACCTAGTATCAACATTCACTCACCTTGTACGAACATTCACTCACCTGGTACAAACATTCACTCACCTTGTACAAACATTCACTCACCTTGTACAAACATGTACAAACATTCACTCACCTTGTACAAACATTCACTCACCTGGTACAAACATTCACTCACCTTCACTCACCTGGTACAAACATTCACTCACCTGGTACAAACATTCATTCACCTGGTATCAACATTCACTCATCTGGTACAAACATTCACTCACCTTGTACAAACATTCACTCACCTTGTACAAACATTCACTCACCTGGTATCAACATTCACTCACCTGGTACAAACATTCACTTACGTTGTACAAACATTCACTCACCTGGTATCAACATTCACTCACCTTGTACAAACATTCACTCACCTTGTACAAACATTCACTCACCTTGTACAAAAATTTACTCACCTGGTACAAAATTTCACTTACCTGGTATAAACATTCACTCATCTGGTACAAACATTTACTCACCTGGTACAAAAATTCACTCACCTGGTATAAACATTCACTCACCTTGTACAAAAATTCACTCACCTGGTATAAAAATTCACTCACCTGGTATAAAAATTCACTCACCTGGTATAAACTTTCTAGACAATGAAGGAAACATCCATGTCCAAATCTGAAAAGAGTGAACACATTGAGTGTGAGACCTAAGTTGATTGAAAATACAATTGTGATTGAAGATGACATCATTAACAGGGATGAGAATTTTCCGCGATCCGCAGAATTCCGGGAATTTCATAAGGCCAAGGGTAATTTTTGTGAATCATCCAAATCCGTTGCCCCCAGACACCCGGCTAGTTTTCAGAGTTTTTCTCAAAACTTCATTCTCATCCCTGCATTAAGCAGACTGAACAACAGGCAGTAGATAACAAATGAGTTGGTGCAGTACGTGAGATCTAAGCTAAGAAGAAAGGGGATAATATATCCAAGAAGGAAGGTGGGATTTATGAAAAGGTTGAGGGAAAGATCACAGCTAAAACTAAGGGTGAAACTAAAACTAAAACACAGTGAGAGGCCAAAATAAACAAGAGTCATCAGAAGATGACATATTCCCCGTCCCAAACAATTTTGAAAGAACTAATCATATGACAGTTACTTAGTCCAACTTGAATTTTTTGGACTACGCCCAAATCGTTTCCATGAAAATGATGAAAAATATAAAAGCCACAAATCTGCACATAGCAAAAGGCACACTTCAAGATGTGTTTGATATATCTGCCAAGTTTTGTTGAAAGATATTGAAACGTTTTCGAGTTGTGCTCCGCAAACGAAGCCCACCCCTCCCTTTTGAGACTAAGTCCAAAACGTTTCCATGGAAACCAAGAAAACTAAAAATGACAAAAATCTGTAAATAGCAAAAAGGCACCACTTTAGGTTCTGTTTGATATATCTACTAATTTGTGTTGAAAAATATATTTTTAGTTATGCTCCGGAAACAAAAAGATTACGGATGGATGGATAAAAATTATTTTCAATCCAAAAAGATAGAACTGAGGTTGGATCAAAGCTAAAACTGAAGGTTAGATCAAAGACAGAATTGAGATGTATCAGAGCTAAAACTGAAGGTGAGATCAAAGATAAAACTGAAGGTGAGATCAAAGATAAGATGGAGGCAGGGATCTTAATTAGCTCAAACTGAGATTAGTATTAATTGCCCTTTAATTAAACTGTAAAAATGATACACAGGTTAGCGATGACACTCAGGTGTACTAAACTAAACACGTAAAGTAGTTAATATTTTGGGTGATAAATTTTACAGTGAATAAACAATTAAAACAAGAAGACAAAGTCATCAATATCCCCCGCAATGGCAAAATACTCTTCAAGAATATGTCTACGAGTTATGATTATGTCAAATGTTTTGGTGTGTATATAGCTATGTGGAAGGAGAGTACTGAAAGGTTTCAAAGTTCTGCTCCAGAAAGGAGCACTACCACCAAATTCAGTTGAAGACATGGAAATGCAAAAAAACCATTTTATTCAGAAATCCAAAACTAGCAAAAGGCACCAGTTCACCACTAGACCTACCTATGCATGAAATTTCGTGATGAAACAGTGAACAGTTTTTAATTCTGCTCCAGAAAAGAGCACTACCACCAATTTCAGTCAAAGTGAAACTTGTTGCCATGGAAATGCCAAAATCATTTTATTCAGAAATCCAAAAATACCAAAAGGCACCAGTTCACCACCAGATCTATCTAAATGCCAAGTTTGGTGAAGAAACATCGAACGGTTTTAGAGTTCTGCTCCAGAAAAGAGTACTACCATCAGTTTCAGTCAAACGTCAAACTTGTTGCCATGGAAATGCAAGAAATATTTTATTCAGAAATCCAAAACTACCAAAAGGCACCAGTTCACCACTAGACCTACCTATGTATGAAATTTGGTGATGAAACAATGAATTGTTTTTAAGCTCTGCTCCGGAAAAGAGTACTACCACAATTTCAGTCAAAGTGAAACTTGTTGCCATGGAAATGCCAAAAACACTTTATTCAGAAATCCAAAACTACCAAAAGGCACCAGTACCCCACCAGACCTATCTATTTACTACGTTTGGTGAAGAAATAGTGAACGGTTTTAAAGTTCTGCTCCGGAAAAGAGCACTACCACCAATTTCAGTCAGTCAAACTTGTTGCCATGGAAATGCAAAATATATTATATTCAGAAATCCAAAACTACCAAAATGCACCAGTAGACCACCAGATCTATCTATGTGCCAAGTTTGGTGAAAAAATAGTGAATGGTTTTGAAGTTATGCTCTGGAAAAGATGTCACGGACGGACGGACTCCATTTTATAACACACACGCACGCACGGACGCACGCACGCACGCGACGCGACGCGACACGCGCGCGACGACGCGACGCACGCACGCACGCACGGACGCACGCACACACGCATGCACACACATGCACACATGCACACGCACATGCAAAACGCCTAGTGGGGGATAAAAATATCCTAACAAATATTTGACTCCTAACTTTTTTGTCCAGCATTTTTATATGAATATATTTTAACATAAAGTTGACATAAACATAAGGAAGTCAAATATATCAACTTTGAAACATGGAAGATCTGGGAAGCACTTGATAAGTTTATTGGTTTAATTAATAACTGACAGGTGTGTGGAAAAGTACAGCAAATAATCATACGCCCACTGTCACACTGGGTCACAGTGACCTCAGGACTGGGTCAACGTGACCTTTAATGAGACCACCAGAAACACATGTCCATCAAAAACACACATCAGTAAACATGTCACACTTCTCATTGTATTTATAGGGCTCATGGAAGTAGAACACAGACCTCTATGAGGCTTACAGTTCAGGGTGAAAAACCTGAGAGTGTATAGAGTTCAAGTATATATAAACATTCTTCGAACAATTGAGTATGCTTTTATTGCCACGTATGACAATATTCCAGAAAGATCATGACAAAGGACGACAGAGATGACACAAAATTACAAGGAACTCGACTTTTTCTATTTATTCCACACTCTTGAAGCTCTGCATGATAAGATTCTCAAACCTAGTAATTAAGAAATGGTTTACATAGATCTGCAATAACTGGGCACCAAGTTTTATAAAGAAACAATGATGACCTTGACATTGGAATGATTTGTGTGACACTCATGTCGGATAATTGACAATCTGTCTGTGTGCAGTATGGTGGGAGTTCACATTCAAACAAGTTTGTTATTGTCCATTGTGTTCGATATTTAATGCAACACTTAACAATATTTCAGCTATATCATCGTGGCTTAAATAATTGAGTCTGGACCAGAAAATCTAGTTATCGGCCACACCCTCTGTAATCAGGGTATGATGACATGCAGCAAATTGAGTCATCGAGGAGGCGGGTTACCCAAGTATACAGGGCGGTTAAACAATTTTCACTATCCTGGTCCTAAATAAACTTGCCAGATCCATTTCATCGCGTGACTGTTAAACTTATGATAGTATCATACAATATGTTAACTCATAAGCCAAAATAATCAATCAAACTTAGTTTATTTTCGTTCTTCAATCATAAAATATGATATGACAAAATTGTTCGTTCTACATGAGGCATAGTGTTTATGATTGGTGTATTTAGACAGGGATGTGTTCCTCTCAACCAATCAGAACCAATCACAGTTTCCCTGACCCTGCTGACTAAAACAACAAAACAACAAACTAGAAGCGAACATAATTTAAACAATTCTAATTCATCCGTGAATACCATGAATACACAATGCTATTCAGAAAGTGGTCAAGTGTAACATTTAAACAATTCTATTTCATTCTTGAAGCTTTCGTCCTTGGGAGCCGTGTTAATTTACACTCATCAGAGGGGTACACAAAGTCTGTAGTCTAGACTACCAGTTGTCTGACTTTTAGTGGAAGCCGTGGTGGCTGAGTAGGTTAGACGGCTGATTTTGTGTGCTGACGATTAGATGCCTGACTCTGAGAGTGTGGGTTCAAATCCTGAATGGGATTCATCCCAACAAAAGTACTAGAATCTGTACTTTACTGTGAAAGTGTAATCTTAAATATAACATATGTTACTGCAAACCCCAGTTTAGCTAACAATTATTTCTGACATCTTTTGTAAAGTGTAAAATATTCATCCGAGTCATAAGGAAACAGATATATCACAGCGACAATGAAATATGAAATAATATGCTCACAGAAGAAATCTCTGTCTGATCTAAGTTTATAAAATATAACTTGAGAGCTGTCACATTAGTTGCCTAGCAATAAATCATTTAGAAGAATATGAGTAAGTGAGGTCATGCATTTTAATTGAAAACTCATTTTTCAGTATTATACTTTGTTTTAAAGAGAGTCAAATTCAAGTACGTAACTACAAAAGTTTAATTTGAAGATTGTGCACAGCTTTAGGGTAAAACTTGTAAGGAGTAATACCACCTCAGGTGTGGTGGTGCAAATCTCTACCCGTCACAGCCCTAATATACCGTGTCCACCTATACTTTCTGGAGGAAGCATTTGATTCATTGAACAAAAAACATTATAACCAGCATTCAATAAATATCTGTTGACAATTTTCACATTCCTGTCCAAAAACTTCATCAGGGTGCATCAAACCAAATACATCCCACAACCAGATACTGGTCCTACTATAGATTGATCTTCATTTCTGACCTTTCACCTCTCACCTTCACCTTCCTGAATGTGGAGCAGACAAACAAGGTCACTAGGACCAGTGCATGAATAGCAAATGGACTCTGAATTGACATAGTGTAGGGTGTATGTTAGACTAAGGCTTAGTCTCTGAATATGGTGTATGTGTATGTTGGGCTAGGCATACAACAGTCTTTTCTCACTGTGTCAGTATTTCCATTGGTGAGTTTCATTGCTATCCTTCATGTCCAGCAATGATGTGACCTTATAAGGTGGAATAGCTAACCTATCTGTCAGATGTTAGGCAGACAATAATCAGAGGCAAAATAATGTAATGGTAATGTCATGAAAATGCAAAGGAAAAGTAATGAAAAAGTAAATGAAAATGTAAAGGACATGTAATGAATATTAATGAAAATGTGAATGAAAATATGAAGAAAATGTAATGAAAATCTCACAGAAATGCAATGAAAATGGAAATGGAATGAAAATATAAATGGAATGTAATGGAAATGCAATGAAAACTGAAAGTACTGTTGCTAAATTAGATCATGTCTATCTAATCATCACTCATTCCATGCAACAGTTTGTAAGAGTAATCCGTGACTGGGGTATTTTGTGGTAAAACAGAAAGGTTTCAATAAAGACTGGGATAAGATATCAAATGTTTTAAATTGTGTACATGTGAGCCAAATCAAAGCCAATTTATTGATTTTCAAAGATATTATTTCTAAGAAACTCATCAGAAGCTGTACTATGTCAAATCTTGTTTAAAATTTTGGTATTCTGTTCAGAACAAAACATATCTCCCAACGCAAAATGTTTGTCAATAGGATATAAAGGGTTTGATTTTAATGGGATTGTTGTTTGTTTATTGTCTGATGTCACTTCCAGCAATATTCCATCTGGATAACTGTGGGCTGTAAATAACTGCATTGGGGCCAGGCTAACCAGTGATTGACATCATGAGCACCAAGCTACACAATAGGGATAATAGCATCCACCAAGTCAGTGACCCTGACCACCAAATCATGTTCGTTATCTTACGTGGCAGAAGATCCTGATCTTCAATAGGATAAGGTTATTGTTGAGTGTGAATATACGCACCTAGGGTTAGGCGCCTCGGCCATCCACAGGAGGTCCATATTGCAGGCTAGGACAGGTAGGTGAGGGTACAGTGTCTCCTTCTGAGTGTGTCCAGGCTTACCATTGGTCAATAACACATCAATGATGATTTGCAGGTTCGTTTCCCACCTCACCGGCTCACCAAACAATATCACAGCTGAAAAAGAGGAATATTAGTTACATTAAAGTCAATGTTTCTGTGCTAGAGTACACATCTCTCCCTGTCAGAGGTAACAGGAAACAGATGGGTCAGCACAAATTTCATGCAATTTGACAAAGTGGAGTCTAACTTTATGACTTGATACATGATGGGCCACAATAATGATTCATACATTCAGCTACATACCACAATATATTGCATGAGTTCATCCATATGTAATTTGTTATGAACCTCAATAAAATTTGACCCATATATCAGAGTTCCGCTACATAATTCTGACAACCTTGTAGCCATTCGACATTTTGTTAGATGTTGCTATGGTTACAACCCATGCTATGGTTACAACCCATATTTGGACACATTATATACAGCAGCTGGTTTTGAATTACGTTTCACAGGAACAAATTTCTGAATTTTATAATTGGACTTGCCACTCATGTTAACTTTGTCAACAAGATGAAAATATACATGATTTTGAAAAATGCAATATACCAATATTCTCAAACATTTTATGATAACTTTTCACAGGTCTTTCAAATTGACGTTTACACAGTAATGCAATGTGCTTCTCTCAAACACAGACCACACCATCACACAGCAGCAGTCAGTATTAAATACAGTAAATTATGTTTATAATGAATACCCTTATACCAGTGAGTGAGTGAGTTTAGTTTTATGCTGCACTCGGCATTATTCCAGCTATATGGCAGTGGTCTGTACATAATCAGCATTGGTCAACCATGTCAGCAAGCCTGACTACTTGATCCTGTTAGTCGCCTCTTACAAAAAGCATGGGTTACTGAAGATCAATTCTAACCCGGATCTTCACGGGTGCGAGACAGACAAACCACATGAGCATTACCGGTATGTCATAAAAGTTACACGTACCATCAATCTTTGGGAAATAATGCTCGAAAGCACAGGGCTGCAAAAAAGAAGAAAGATGTAATTTATTCATCTTGAACTGAAGACAGTAGGGTTGTAAAAACTCCACCATAACGTGAATATGATGTGTATCAGGAATATTGGGTTCCAAACATGAATATTAGATAACGAATACAATATCAAGTCATGAGTTGATTTATTATTCATTATATAAATTACAAAACATATTCTCTGACATGTTTTTAACCATGTTGATAACCAATAACCAATGATCACATTACTGCTTAAACATATAAAAGTGTTGACTATTATCCTGCCTGGCTGGGATATATTGCATTTTGCATGTCTCCCTTTATCAACAACACCTATATTCATGCAAAAACACTCTTTTTAAGAAAAGTCATGAATATTCGATTCTAGTGATCACAAAAAATGAATTGAATTAATGAAGTGATACGGTTCAGTTTCACTGAATATGAATGTGTAGATCAGCCCTTATGGGCAGCATGCCAACTGAAGTATGACAACTATATCCTAAATCCCATATACATTGCATCTGATGGTATTGGCATAGATATGTTCGTATGTGACCAATGTTTAGCTGATAATATGAACAATGACTTCATATGAGCACTAAATTTACATTTGGCACGAACTGATCCATCTTGTGAAATGTATCCTCTGGATTGCAGCTGCCCCCCGAGGTCATGGGCAGACCTCTGATTAAGTTGGCTGAACAAGGGAGATCGTTCTATGGACATACAACTTCTTTATTACAACAGATGAGATGTTTCTGTGTAGATGCTAACACCGTCATAACTGTTGTAGAAGAAGTTGAATAGCCATAGAAGTATCCCCCTTCTTCATCACACCAACTTCAAAATAGTGAGTGAGTGAGTTTAGTTTTATGCCGCACTCAGCAATATTCCAGCTATATAAATAATCAAGTCTGGATCAGACAATCCAGTGATCAACAGCATGAGCATCGATCTGCGCAATTGGGAACCGATGACATGTGTCAACCAAGTCAGCGAGCCTGACCACCCGATCCCATTAGTTGCCTCTTACGACAAGCATGGGTTACTGAAGATCAATATTCTAACCTGGACCTTCACGGGTCACTTCAAAATAGAAGTAATTTGGCTGATATCAAATTTGATCAGTCCGGTATTATTGAACATTTAGGGCATCAAATCTTGCTTGACAATGTCATACACAACAGTCACATCATAATATAATAAAGAAAGAAGTTGTCATCCACAAAGTATCATACCTTTTATATTATTCATCAACTTCTAAAACACCAGTCAAACAGATTTAATTTTTTAATGACCATCCCTAAATCTAAATGAGTGAGTGAGTGAGTTTAGTTTTATGCTGCTTTCAGCAATATTCTAGCAATATCACAGCAGGGGACACAAAAAATGGGCTTCACACATTGTACCCATATGGGGAATCAAACCCAGGTCTTCGCGTGACAAGTGAATGCTTTAACCACTAGGCTGCCACACCATCTCTTTATCTCTAAAACAATATTAACTTATGTATGGGTTTAATATGCAGCCCACTTTGTTGATTTGCTTATTATAACAAATATTATATAAAGAGAATCTTACCCTCGTGTCTACTGATATCAATATTAACACGAGTTGATGTATGGCTTTGAGGATATGCATCCCAGTGTTGATATTGATATTGAGATTCTATTATCATTAAAAATCATTCTTATTAATATTCAATGAAAAATGTACATCTCTGTACACTGTACTACCATTAGACTTGCAGTGCAGCGATGTCATAGCATTGTCAGGGCATTGTACAAAATCTACTGTCAAAACTATATCTCCTAGGAGATATCATATGATCTTACATAAGCAATATCTCCTGTGGAACACAGTTTTGGATGATAAAAGTGAAGATGAATTGTTTTCTGTTTCCAAGTATGTTCTTGTGTGTAACATGTGTGATGGCGGATCAGCTTCTACCCAGAGAGAGCCAGCATCCTGATCAATACGTTCACAGATACAACTTGGAAACAGCTGCTTGGCCTTGATTGAATATTGAATTATGAATGGTATTCAAGCCTGTAATTCATACTTTCATTATTAGACCACTCCTTGGTTTTTTTTCAATAGATAATTGAGTCTGATTAAACCTTGTGTAAAGAAATGAACAGTCTCTGAGTTAGGTTCTTCATTGTGACAGTGTCAGATCCTCTGATTATCGAACATCCACACCTGACATGTAGAGTCGGTATGTTTGTGATTTGATTTGTCTCAGAATATCTGCTGTCAGTCTTGTTTCATTATATTTGTGATATTGATAAGAATTGTTTGAGTAAAAGATGAATAAATGACTTATTGTCATTGTAACGCTTAATTCGTTTAAGGAACTGTCCACAGAAGATGAAGATGCAGAAAAGATTGCAATAAACGAATCCATAAACAATTCCTCACTCAATGCTAGAGTGAGTGCGTGGGTTTATTCATCAACTTCTAAAACGCCAATCAAACAGATTTTATTATTAAATGAGCATCCCTAATTCTAAATGAGTGAGTGAGTGAGTTTAGTTTTATGCCGCTTTTAGCAATAGTCCAGCAATTTCATGGTGGGAGACACCAGAAATGGGCTTCACACATTGTACCAATGTGGGGAATCGAACCCAGGTTTTCAGCATGACGGACGAGCTTTAAACACTTAACCGGTTAACACTACTGCCCCCCCTGCCTCTGATCAACACTAGAGCTGCCAGTTAACACTACCCCCTGCCTCTGATCAACACTAGAGCTGCCAGTTAACACTACCCCCTGCCTCTGATCAACACTAGAGCTGCTGCAGCTACTGGAAACGTCTAATGATAACAAAGAAGCAGCATACTGCGGCTTTTCGGCGCTTGTGGTCGACCATGTCCAGGTTGGTGAAGGTGTGGCGTAATGTTTCCACGGTGGTGATGCGGGTAAAACCTAAACCTCGAGCGATCTCCTGCACTGGGCCCTGGCCAGACACGAGGACATGCTTGTCATGGAACTGGCGGAACATCTTCAGGGGGCTGTGAGACATGACAACCTGGTCCTCATGTACCTGCAGCAGAATGTGAGTCAGTGTGAGTGTCATGTGACTCAGTGTCATGGGAATCAGGGTGAGTGTCATGTGACTCAGGGTGAATGTCATGTGAGTCAGTTGAGCATCATGTGAGTCATGATGAGTGTCATGTGAGCAAATGGAGTGTCATGTGAATCATGATGAGCGTCATGTGAGTCAGGATGTTTGTTATGTGAGTCAGGATGTGTGTGATGTGATGTGGGATGAGTGTGAGTCAGGGTGAGTGTCATGTGAGTTGGGATGAGTGTGAGTCAGGGTGAGTGTCATGTGAGTTGGGATAAGTGTGAGTCAGGGTGAGTGTGAATGAGTGTCATGTGAGTCAGGGTGAGTGTCATGTGAGTTGGGATGAGTGTGAGTCAGGGTGAGTGTGAGGTGAGTGTCATGTGAGTTGGGATGAGTGTGAGTCAGGGTGAGTGTGAGTGAGTGTCATGTGAGTTGGGATGAGTGTGAGTCAGGGTGAGTGTCATGTGAGTCAGTGTGAGTGTCATGTGAGTCAGGGTGAACGTCATGTGAGTCAGGGTGAGTGTCATCTCACATAGAGTGAAACAGGGTTCAATGCTGCATCATGTTCAGTGTACAATCAAACACTGTCAAACCTTTGTTAAGTCAAACTTATGGCTGTGTCGGACTTTGATACTCGAAGTAAGAGTTTCATCTCTGAGTGCACATTCTTAGTTTAATCAGCAGTTGTGTAAACCTTGGACAATGCTAAATATTTACACAGGTCCATTCAGCTTCACACAACACAACAGGGTTAACTAAACTAACAGTATTTTCATCCATCTGAATGTTCCAAGTTTATCCATAAGAAAAGATTAGTTATTAAATAAAATATAGAGCAACAATATTAAAACTTAAACAAAAATGTTCCAGTCAATTTTTCAATTAATAATTGATCAAAAGCATTGTTTATAGTCTACAGCCACTGCAAACATCTTTAGATAACAAAACCTCTGCCAAGAGTAGATATATACATGCAGCAGAAACAGTTAACATCATCATTAAAACACTGAGATAGTATATAGTTTTCCCAATGAATTGAAACATTAAGATTACAAAAATCTAAAATGTTAGAGCTAGTAGAATCATGATTAATTAATTTCAATATGTTAAAAGAAATTTGCCTCACCTTGACATTCAACCAGTCGGAAAGCTGTTTCGCTTTGTTTTGTCGGAGAGTATTGCCAGCATTTGTGACAAACAGACATGGCACTCGAAACTCTCCATTGTTGTCTGTTAATATAGAAAACGTCTCCTTTGCTGATGGCAAAACCTTCTTTCCTCGAACTATCACCCCATCAATGTCAAACAGGAAACCAAACTTGGCGCTTCTACTTGAAGCCTGCAAAACCAACAGAAACACAGCATTAGCAGGAATATTGAGTTGGACATATTAATATCTGAGGATTTAGAACCACCGGCACCATTTCCTAGATTGCTTGTAATGGATACGGAACTAATAGCTTAATGTGCATGGAATAAATGATATCTTGTGTATGAAATAAATAGTTTATTCTGCAGGGAATTAATAGTTTCTTACGGATGGAATAAATAGTTTCTTGTGTCATTAAATGAATAGTTTCTGGTGCATAGAATAAATAGATTCATCAGATATTAGATCCAAAATTATACTTTTTTTATTTTGCTGTTGCGCGGAATGCCTGACTGCGTTTCATATCCTCTTACAAAACATTATGACTGACTGACTGGTGGTTAAAGCGTTGGCTCGTCACGCCGAAGACCCGGGTTCGATTCCCCACATGGGCACAATGTGTCAAGCCCATTTCCGGTGTCCCCCGCCTTGATATTGCTGGAATATTGCTAAAAGCGGCGTAAAACTAAACTCAGTCAGTCAGTCAGTCTTACGACAAGCATGGGTTCCTGAAGACCAGTTCTCAGGTGAAACTTATCTGAGTGTTGCCATTGACGGACAAATGACCTTGTTATTTAATATTAGAACGCAGACATTTCAGGAAAGCTTGCCTTGTGTTAGATCCATGAGAATACTTAGTTTGAAATAAAGAAGTCATCATGCTTGCATGTTTTGGGGTGGTATATATCCTGAATCCAACGTTTACTAAATTCAGTGTTATGAGCTTATACAGGATATCTGTTGTCCTAAACCACACTTGCATGATAACCTCTGCTGATATGCCCGGATTAGTATGGATATCACATGATATCATATAACTGATATCATCAATGCATAGTGGCATAGTCTGGCCACACAGTTAATGCATGGAAGTAGAATATAAATTAAGGGTTGAAATATATGTGACATGACAGTACCTCTAGAGTGTGTTGAGTGTTTCTGGGAACACGTCAGCATACAAAAACACATGTCTGCCAGCCTGTCTCATGTCATCAACAAGACCAATATGGTTGTAATGAGTGAGTGAGTTTAGGTTTATGCTGCTTTTAGCAATATTCCAGCAATATCACGGTGGGGGACACCAGAAATGGACTTCACACATTGTACCCATGTTGGAATCAAACCAGAGTTTTCAGCATGGCAGGCAAACGCTTTGACCACTAGGCTTCCCACCCACCCACCCCCACCCCCCGATTATAATGAAAAGGGGGAGATAGTGTGAGGATGACAAACAACAGAACAACAGTAAACAACGGGACCAAAAATTTTAGTTCGTTAAATCATAGTTTATTATATGCATTTAAACTAAAACATACAGCAAGTGGTTGGGTCCAAGAAAAACTGTTCTCTATTTCTGTCCATTTGTCATGAGGATTTTCATAATAAAGAAATTTTACTGTAACTGATTTACCGCTAACATGTAAGATCGTCCTGACAGGGCACTGACGAACTGCAAAAATACTTTAGTAAAATTATATCTCATTGATAAGCCACCCCCCTTCTACAGACTGCTTTTTTTTGTCCTTAAAATTCGGCTTATAAACGGTAATATACGGTACTGTATTATCTGGACAGATGGATGGATGGATGGATAGACCAATGAATTGATGGACGAAAGGAACAATGGAAAGATGGATTAGATGGGTGGATGGATGGAACAATGAGTGGATGGGTGGATTGATGGATGGAACAATCAGGGTTTTACACAGACTTTTCATGGTGCCTCACAATAGTCATTTTTGGGAGTCATTTTTAATATTTGGGAGTCATGAAAATTTCAATATTTCTTTGTGTTAATCATTCTCAGTATGTAACTGTGTATGTCACACCACCAAATGAAACTACAGCATTGTTCAATTCAAACAACCAGGATTACTGTCTCCTCTGAGTTCTCTGGAATAATCTGACAGCTATCATTTTTTGCTAATCAAATCGATTTTATTGAACTGAATTGTGAGGGCCACCCATAAAACTTGCATGAAACTGAACATGTATGATAATATTTTGAGAGTCGTTTACAAAATTGTTGCGTCATGTAAAACCCTTAACAATGAGTAGATGGGTCACTGGATGGATGGAACAATGGAGAGAGAATGCCACTGATTCCATAGTGTTGTCTAGAGGCATGTGTATGCTATATAATGTGACTTAACAAACAACCATAAGAATTGTCTTTAATGTGTTTCTGCAACTGAAAAGTTATAATGCATGCACTCCATATTTTACTTTTATACCCAAATGTTTGCAAAAAATCATTTTACAAAGTCAATTTAACATTATCTAAAAAAGACTTACCCTTTTCCAGTAATAAAGCTTCCTGATTATATAATTCCTAACCACATTCATTATTGGTGTGCCGGGACAGACTGACATTTGTACTTTCTGTATCAACATCTTCAGTGATGCAGTTATAAGCATAATGCTGTGTGCATGTCATTGCTAAACCATCACATTTATCAGAGCATACACAAATATCATGTAAAAACATAGGCAAGAACAAAGTCATATATTATTAAAAATTATTATTTTTCTGGGCAAATACATGTATTGAATATGACAAAATGAGAAGGTGTGTTTGTGATTTGTGCATGCATGTGTGTGCATGAGTGCTGAGCATTGGGATAAGGATTTGTTTTACTGGAAGATGATAAAAAAAAGTCAGGAATGTATTTTGCAAATGCCAACTAATTATAAGGGTTAACAATCAATAGTTGCACCTTATTTCCAATAAATATTTGTATGTCATAATCTATCTATGTATATGCATGGCTACTCATGCAACAAACAGCATGGTTTAAACACGATCAAATTATGTCAACAGTTGAAAATAGGTTCTGTAACATGTGTTCAAGATTAGCTAACACAAACCGTCACAAATGAAGAATAAAATTTAATAATTTTGTGAACACACAAACTTTCCTTCCTGACAATACTGTCAACTGCTTCAAGCGGTCAAGTCAAATAATGACCCTTTGACCATGTTAAGATCATTGAAAACAAACTCACGTTAATTGTTTCTCTTTATTTGGGTTTATTTTATTTACCTTGTAGCAGGGTATGAAACTCCCAAAAATTTCATCCAGAGCACAGGGCTGGTTGGATGTAAAACTTGCCAGCCCTGACCAAAACTTACCTGCCCACAAATATTTTAGGTTTAACAAGCGACGTAATTTATCATCCAATTGGAATTCATCATTTATTTTTATGTGTGAATTAATAATGATTTATTATCCTGAAATTTGATGAATATCTTCATATACATGTCCAAATTTTAATCTGACTGTCGGGCAGGTGAATTTTAGAATCTGGCAGTCTGTGTTGAAAATAACCTGTCCCGGGCGGTCAGGCAGGCAGGTATATCGAACGCTGCTTGTAGTGCCCTATAGGCAGCTTGGCGTTATCCAAGATAATAATGTTTATTACGTTGTATATATGCTTAGAACATGCCCATGTGGCGTGAACTCCAGCATTATATAGTAGCCTTATTATTATACACCCAATTAACATGCTTTTTATGAGATCACATATTTTGTATTTTGACTAAACATTTTGAAAGAAGTGGCCTTGCATATGTCCACAGACAACACAGTTCATGTTTCCATGTCGCGACTGTTCGAGCATCATCCAGGTCTGAGCATTATTGATCACAGGTACAGAAATACTATCATTCATCAAATAAACCCTATTTAGTATAAGCAACAAACGCGATGAAACAGAATACAGGATTGATTTTGCCATCTAACAAATACTCCCAGTAATGAGAAGGTATTATCATAGACAGGCAGACATTTCACAGACAGGTGGCCAGTCATACCGTGATATATTTTTCAGGGATCACTTCCAAAATACATTTTCATTTCACTCAGTAAGTCAATTACTTTGAAAGATAAACAGCTGTCAAAACAAGCATAAATACAGAAATTGTAGATTTTCTTTTCAGATTTAGATGAATATATAAAAATGCTACCTTGAAACTCAGTATTAACATGCTAGTAACAAATTATAATGTGTTTATCATAATGGCAAACAAATTAAATTAACAATAAAACAATTTAAACAATTGTCAACGTCTTTTCATTTATTATCAGTAGATCATAAGGACAGTGAGGTGCAATGATATAACTTTCATAATGAGAGAACAGTACATATAGGTATTGGGCTGTCTTTAGAAACAAAATGGCAGCCACATTCATTGCACTATATCAGAATTTAAAATTACATAATTTGGTGGATACAAATACACGTTGATAAAATGAACTAAAGTGTTACATTGTAGTAATAATTTCAGGCATTTACTGATATTGCTAACATTTATTTATTGAAATTAACACTAATATACTTATGGGGTATGTATATATTTCAGTTGTATATATTTCTTTCTCAATGATCAGTCCTATTTAACATGCCTTTTTGCTAGCAAGCATTATATGGTTTTTATTATTTGGAATTGCTTGTGCCACTTGTTCTTGGCAAACATAATGAAGTTTGAGTTCTCCATCTTATAAATTTCAAAAGAAAGCGTAATTGTTGCAATATTTAAGGATCGTAGATTCATAATTAAAAACAAGACTGATATTTGAGTTCCAATAAATCAAAATTTTAACAAAAATATAATTTTCTGACAAATCTTAAATCTCTCGAAAATATATGCATTGATGTTAGGTCCTGCGAAAAAGTAAGGCAATCTAAAAGATCCTAGCAACTACTCGGCCACCTAACTGATTAAAATCACGTTTAGAAAGATTAACAATGACTTTAGACTTGTCCTAATTAACATTCAAATTGGTCTACCCATGCTTGCTAAAAATTATGACATTATTATTTTAAATTTTATATTTAATTTTTCAAGCTAGCTAATTAAAGTAAATTAATGATTGTCTTTCGCCTCACCTACCCTGGCCATCTAAAAAAAACAACCTGCAATACAAAAGCACATCACACATATAAAACAGGAGGAAGTGAGGATTTGTTTACCGCTCTGGTCTGAACTCTGTGAACAGCATTGTAGGATATTGCACTCATGAAAGCACCCATCATAAACAACATCCAAATAAATGTCCCCTTTGGTAAAACTGTGGAATAAATGTGGCTGCAACATTGCTCCAAGGTTTTATGGAAATTCAGATCCTGTAAAGACTGGTACTGTGGAACTGTGTCATGGTATTTTACATTCTAGTTGCATCATCCAAACAGAACATGGTGACCTACTTTGTCTATAAATAGCACAAGAAAGCCCCCCTACTGTGTGCAGTTATTTCATGGCAAGGAGAGGCTTTGGCTTGCCTGGTTGAAAACTGCTGTGTCATCATCAACAATAAACAAAATTTGCTGAGTCACTGTCAACAATAAACAATGTGTTACTTTAACATATAAAGAAGGGGAATAAACACATGTAAGACAGCTCAACCTAATAATGATTATAATTAAGAGAATCAGAAATTACACAACCACACAAAAGCATTCATTTTTACTTACAGGTAAATAACAACTGTATACACAGACTATTTTTTGGCATGATTGATATAAAAAAAGTTTCTTTTGATATTAAAAAAGGTTTCGTCAATTGGAGCTGGTACTTATATTATCCCCAATTTATAATTTGGGTCTAAATTTAAAAGTTATTTGGTATACTTTGAGGATACTTCGACCAGCACATGAGAGGTACGTGAGATTGATGTTTGATTTATCAGAGGTAACAATGAACCGACTCCCCCCTGACCCTCCTCCCTCTAGGGGTCATGAAGGTGAAGGTCGTACACAGATTGTGAGTGACTCTCTCATGTTGTTATGGCTGATGTCTGAATGGCCGGCTCATGGGAAGGGTGCACCTTGTGTATAGGTGATGCAATCAGGCTTGGGGCTCCACCTTGGTCTACAATGCTCTCACTTCCTGTTTGCTGACAATGTGTTTAGAAAACGAAAATAGAAGGCGCCTATGACTTCTGGCTATGTACAAATATTCAATAATGTAATGGTCTTATCTTTTTTCTTTTCTTTCTTTCTTGAACCAAAGAGACAGATTACAAAAACAGTTGAATTTACATGATATTAAAAATACAAGTGTGTAATGGTCTTGATTTAAAAAATCAAATTTGTGTGTGCAATTTTACCACAAAGTTATTTCATGAGAAATGTTCAGATTCTAACTTTAAACTTACATTATAAAACTATTAGGTACAAGTCCACAGAATCATTGAAAATTTCAGTCCATATGCTCATGATGTAAATCACCAGATCGTCTGGTTCAGACTTGATTATTTACAGACTAGTGTTATATAGCAAGAATATTGCTGAAAGTGGCATTAAACAACGAAAACAAACAAACATGATGACACAAGGTGGTCAGGTTTGGTGACTCGGTCAGTTGCATCACGGTCATTAATGTTCATGATGGCAGTCACTGGATTGTCTGGTCCTGACTTGGATATTGACAAACTGACTTAATGTGGATAAACTATTTCTGAGTATTAGACAGCAGGTCAGATTTGGTGAGTTGGTTGTCTTCATGTCACAGATGTTCATGATGTCAATCACTGGGTGAGTGAGTGAGTTTAGTTTTACAACACTTTTAGCAATATTCCAGGGATATTATGGTGGGGGACACCAGAAATGGGCTTCACACATTGTGTTAATCACTGGATTATCTGAGAAAAAATGTTTCAGTCACGGTTTCAAAGCATACAAATGTTATTAACAAAATTGTGGAGCCATCAATAGTTTTGTACCCACATCATCATTTATCACAACATCAGCCGTGATGAATGTATTCTTTTTTTTATTAAGGCCAGACCAATCTTATTTCTTGTTTTACGTATTTTTGTCCTTAGAAAACCTAACGGCAGGAGGACAAAACAACCCAAACAAACAAAACCAATTAGCAGTCAAAGTAATATTCCTTTAAATACTAAAAGTATTTTACTTTTGGAAATTTATGAAGTGTATGTGGGTCACAAAACAATCTAAAAACATTTTCTTGTAAGTTCACATTTTTGGCCAATAAATACATTAGGATTTATTTTTTGAGCGGGAAAATTCATTTTTATTTTTGTTCTTATTCTTGAAAAAATACGACCGGCGGATCCATAACACAAGAAATAACATTAGTCTGGCCTAAAACTTGAAGACAATTGTTTTCTCCAGCATTTAGGGGCAAATTACTTTTTACAAGGAATATCCCAACCAACACCATCTTGCTCTAGAATGCCAATCACCTCTCACAAGGTGATTACCAAGGAATAATTCCTCGTGATCAAGACATTAGACAAAGGCAAACCAATGACATGCTAAGGACTATTGGTCTGGAGCAGACGTCTCGAGCAGACGTCATTAGCTTATATGTTCTAGTGATACGCCAGGGCTTATCAGTGTCACATTGGCTAGTGTGGTCAACTGACCTCCGGACCCATACTGATTAACTTTGTCAGAGAATGTCGAGGAATCACTGATGGTGTCGAGGAATCACAGACGGTGGTCCTAATAGGAAGAGCAACTGGCCCATTCTGTTTACTAACACGTTTATCAGACAGAGCCATGTCAAGTTTAATAAAACGTGCATGTATAATATGCTAAGCTCCATTCACAAGGTGAATGCTCATAGAGCTAACAATCAAAGCACAGCACAATGTGATTATCATTACCCTGGATAACCCAAGCTCAGGCCTACCAAAGAAAACTTTCCCACTGTGCAGAAAAACGCAGAAAAGCCCATATTAATTGTGGAAATAGCAACATAAACACATTACCTCGCTACTGAAACAGTAAAAACGGCAACGAAAAACTATGAAACTGCAACATTTTTATATCAGCGAACTTTGACCTCTACTGCGCACGCGCATTACGATCCGGGCTTCCTTCCAATTTCCGAGCAACCGTGAATCGCCTCGCGTAGAAGAAGTATTAAATATGTCGAAATAATTGCTGTCAATCGTTTCATATGAATGGAAAGTAAACTAAAAAGGTGTGCACACAAGTATCCTGATGATAAATGCCAAATAACACAACAGAAATACTTAAAAAGGAATGTAACTTTTGTCCAAGGTGGAAAATGTCAGCATGCGGTAGAGACTTCCTCTTCCATGTGCGCATGCGCAAAATCGAAGTTGAGGGCTCCTCGTTTTATGATGCGGTGTTAGCGATTTAAAGTTGCCGTTTTTACTGTGTCAGTAGCGAGGTATTATGTTTATGTTGCTATTTCCACGATTAATTTGGGCTTTTCTGCGTTTTTCTGCACAGTGGGAAAGTTTTCTTTGGTAGACCTGAAGCTGCTAGAAGGCTAACAGTCACATGACTTATCCCACTGGGTACCCATTTTCTGTTTGGTGAACATAGGCAACTTTGAACAAACCCACTTGCCTACGGTGAGACCATTATGAACCTCATCATAAATCATAGTGTAGGCGCTAGAAGGCTAATGGTCACATGACTTATCCTACCGGGTACCCATATTCTGTTGGGTGAACAAAGGCAATTGTGAACAAACCCACATTATGATTTCTGACAGCATTGTGAGTATAGTTGACAGTGTTGTCAAGATAGTGGGTATGATTGTTTCATCAAGGTAGTGGGCATATCTTCATCAAGACTGTAGACATAGTGTCATCAAGACAGTATGTGTCACAGCATTGTCAAGATAGTGGAAATCTTGTTGTCAAGATAGTGAACACAGCATTGTCAAGATAATGGAAATCTTGTTGTCAAGATAGTGAACACAGCATTGTCAAGATAGTGAACACAGCACGGTCAAGATAATGGAAATGGTATTGTCATGATAGTGAACACAGCATTGTCAAGATAGTGAACACAGCATTGTCAAGATAGTGAACACAGCATTGTCAAGATAGTGAACACAGCATTGTCAAGATAGTGAACAGAGCATTGTCAAGATAGTGGAAATATGTTGTCAAGATAGTGAACACAGCATTGTCAAGATAGTGGAAATCTTGTTGTCAAGATAGTGAACACAGCATTGTCAAGATAATGGAAATCTTGTTGTCAAGATAGTGAACACAGAATTGTCAAGATAGTGAACACAGCATTGTCAAGATAGTGAACACAGCATTGTCAAGATAGTGGAAATATGTTGTCAAGATAGTGAACACAGCATTGTCAAGATAGTGAACACAGCATTGTCAAGATAGTGAACACAGCATTGTCAAGATAGTGGAAATATGTTGTCAAGATAGTGAACACAGCATTGTCAAGATAGTGAACACAGCATTGTCAAGATAATGGAAATATGTTGTCAAGATAGTGAACACAGCATTGTCAAGATAGTGGAAATCTTGTCAAGATAGTGAACACAGCATTGTCAAGATAATGGAAATCTTGTTGTCAAGATAGTGAACACAGAATTGTCAAGATAGTGAACACAGCATTGTCAAGATAATGGAAATCTTGTTGTCAAGATAGTGAACACAGCATTGTCAAGATAATGGAAATCTTGTTGTCAAGATAGTGAACACAGCATTGTCAAGATAATGGAAATCTTGTTGTCAAGATAGTGAACACAGAATTGTCACGATAGTGAACACAGAATTGTCAAGACAGCGATCATCATCATACAGTTTGAAAGCTAGAGCAAAATGTCATAACAACTTGAGCAGATTTTATAAATGGCAAAACCATATCAACACAGTGGAACCATGTGATGGGTCTTATACAACAAGGTTGCATCAGCAGAACTGCACTTGCTACACTATAGGACCTACCTACAAAACAGATATATGTAGGCCTCGGCCCTGATAACAGCAGGATACAGTACTCCACTGTCACGCCTCATGGACGGGATTGCCCCGATAACAAGCTGTCAACAAACAGATGGCTGAGTCACGACCAACAATAAACAGAGAAGGACTTCATTGATATACTATGTGGGTCAAGCGTAAGAGGCAACCTACATAGTCAATTGTTATTGTTGTTGTTTCCAAATGTCACAACGTTCGGCCGCATCATAATAAGAATTATTTTCAGATGTTAAAATCTTAAGCATGTACATCTTTTGAACAAACTATTAAAGAGATCTTGAATAAACTATACAAACACATGTGATGAGTTTTTGTGTTTTAGTCAACTTTAGTCCAGGCCCTAGCAAATTAAGTTTCTTTAAAAAATTTGAATACATATATATCATATGTAAATGACATGATGTCATGTAATTATATATATTAAGTATATAT